GCCACGTGGCTCAAGTACTCCACCTCCCATCAAGCCCCAGAGTTCATGATCCCCAAGCTGTGGGGCACAATTTGGGTATGGGTCAAAATTAAACCATGGGACCACAGGTTTCATCCATGTTTCCATTTGCCAGGGTTCCCATTTTGGGTACATATTTTTGACACTGACACTTGGGCACTTTGGGACATGGTTCAAGGCTATTCAAAGCCCCGCGCCTGGCGGCAGGTCCACCCAGCCGCCGTCAGCGCCTGCAGGTAGGCCTGCGGCACATCCGGCGTGTGCAGCAAAATCCGGTGCGGAGCCCCGCCGAAACGCAGCCTCAGCTTTGCTGAAAACAGCCGGGCAAACACGACCAGTTCCTTGAAGTCCGCCCAAAACAAACCGAGATCTGAGTGTGTCCACCCCTTCAAGGGAAACTTAATCAGATTGATGGTTGATGCAGTTGAATCGCCCAGAACATTTAGCTTTCCCCGGATGAAGACAGAGACCGTCTTTTGCATCCCCACTGCCAACTCCCTAAGAAGCAGGCGCCGCCAAAAAAGCTGCAGAGCAACTAGGCAGTCCTTGGGCCATTGGTGAACCAAGAAGCAGCCCCTCGCCGAGCACCAGGGCTCCCAGAAAGTAGTTGTGGCACTGCGGTCCATAGAGCAGCGTCGCGTAGGCGTGCCGGCCCTCCACCGGCAAGTTTTTCCGCACCGATTTGCCTGGGTGAAAGCAGCCAGGGCGTCTTTGGGGAGTGGAGTCGTTTGGTGGGGCCCTTCTCCCCTTTTTGTGAGAACTGAGGGCTGCGGGATTCTTCTTGCACTTCCCTTCAAAGGGAAAAGAGGAACAAATACCTGGACTGAACCAAAAGCTCGAATTTGGACCACAGGACAGCTGGAAAGCAACGTTGGCCCCGGCTCAGTTTATCTGAAAGGCTAAGAGGCAAGTCTTTCCTCCGAAAGTAGTCTAAGTAAGCTTCACCAACCAAAAAAAACCGTTCAAACATCACATCCCTGCTTGTTGTCCACCAAGGGGGGCCTCCTGAAACCGACCAAAGCCGCCCGCAGCGCCTGGCGTGGGCACCAGGCGCAGCGGGCGCCGGCACCAGGGGCACCCGGCCACTTTCCGCAGCGCCAGAGGCGAGGCCCGCGCCGGGCGCACGGCACAGCCGGCGGGGCTGAAGTCCGAGTCGCACCAGGCCTAGAGCCAAGGACCAAAAGGACCTTCCCAGACCTACGGAAAACAGAGGTCAGGTTGTTTTTCTCTCTCCGGGGTGGGGTCTCCTAAGGCATTTTTTTGGAACTGAGTGTGAGTGGTGAGAAGGCCGCGAGCCCGCCATACCCAGTGCAGTTAAGGCCTACGGCTTTGAAGCCTCACCATCCACTCGCCTCTAGACCGCACAGCCGCTGCTTCAGCAGCCCTTCCAGCAACAGATCCTGGTCGCTTGCGGACAGCTTCTTCGCCGCCTCCAGCACTGAGCTCAGCTCCGACTCCATGAAAAGCCGGGCACTAGGAAAGATCCACAGATCCGCCGATTCAGAACTCTCCTGTTGGACCTGCGCTGTTGGTTTCTTGCTGCTGTTCCTTGTTGTTAGCTTGTTTCATTCTTATTTGCTTCTGGGCTTTCCCCCCTTGTCCATGGCAAGGATGCTAGGGATCATGACTACACCCTGCCATGCTAGCCTGCTGTGTCCAACAAACGTGAGTTCAGGATGCCGGGCAACCAGGCTACGTCTGCTCATGCCCCTTTCCTCCCATAGTCCATGGGTTGGGCCATGATTCCTGGACGACAGCATGCAAATCAGCCGATCGGCGTGCGCGCGCACCACACACAGAGCGTCCTCGCTGCCGCGCCGCTGCTCCTGCCCAAAAAAGGTGGGCAATGACTCTGGGAAAAGGCATGTTTCTTAGGACGCGCACACATGGGACTCCTACAAATGCAGCTGGCCAGAAGACATGCAGAAAGACGCGCACCACCACCACCCACCCCCTGGCAGCCTGCAGCTCCTCCTGCTGCTTGCGCAAGCTGAAGATCTCCCCTGACCGGAGTAGGGTTTTTGTTTTTTCACTGGAAGCTGGGCCATGCGTGAAAACGGATGGACCAAAAAGCCCTGGTCACTCTGCAACTCGATAGATCCAGACTCCGTTTCGCCAAGCCTTGCAAGGAACCATTTTCGTGCTGGGCTCACGGCCAGCCATGGCCTCACATCCTCCCACCGCCTGGGCGGAAAGGACGCTTGCCTGGCCGATGGAAGGGCCCGCCCGGTGTGCCTCCCTGAGCTGCTCCTCCAGTGACTGCAGGGCCTGAAAGTCGGGTGGCTCAGGGCCGAGGCTCAGAAAAAAGTGCTGGTGCTCAGTAGGGAATGTGAATGAAACCAGGCGTCCCCTCAAAGGGATGGTTTACATACAAGTCTCATTCCCTCACTCCCTGCTGAGCACCAGCAAGAATCTGGTGGTCCATGGCGAGAATTGGGTTGGCTTCGGTGGTTTGCTCAGAACCAGGTCCCATCCGGAAGCCTGAGTCCCCAGCCTTCTCGTCCTGTCTCAGCTTCAGCTCCCAGTCCTGGCACATTTGGATCCCCCGATCCGGTGGAGGGCTCGTTGCCTCGCCCAGGTGTGCAATTGTGGGATGTTGCAGGTGTGAAGCCTTGGAGTCCCAATTCTGGGATTCATGTTCAGGTCCAAAAAAAGGGATCCGGGTGCTTGACACATACCCAAGAAGGCCAAATGCGGCTGCAGCATCCCGTCTGCTTTATTTTTCCAGGCTCCCCAGCAGCCCCGCCTCTGCGCGGCGCTTGGCCGCCTCAAGCTCCGCCAAGCGCAGAGCCGCCAGGTGCGCAGCCTGCGGCCGCCAATGGCCCAAAGGCTCCCCCTGAACAGCCCTTCGGCTCCAGAAAGCAGTGCAAGGCGACGGCAAATTACGCTTTCAATGTTCATTCCTTTGAGATAGCCGTGGTTTGAAGACGCCAAGGCCCACCCAACGCCTCACCTGGCCCCCAACACCCTCCCCAACTTCTGGGCTCCCGGGCGTGACGCTCCGCGTCCTGCTGCTGCGCTGCGAGCTGAGCCTTCGCCGGATGGGCCCGACGCCCCAGGCCCCAGGCAAGCGCATTGAAAACTGAAGTGCCCCAGGCGGCCACCAAATGGGCACGACTGAATTGATTGACGGCACAGCTCAAAACTGCTCAATGGCGGCCACCAGCAAACAAACCCGTACCACGATTGAAAGTGACCGAAGCATTGGCGATTGCATACGTGTCGTTGGCGGTTGCATCCGCGCCTTGCTGGAAGCTTGCAAGGCCTGGTGCATCTTCGCTGGAGACGAGCCAGTTTTCGGGCTTTGTCAAAATGGAGCTCCTCTTTTCTGTTGCCAGGGGGCCTGGGTAGCGCTTCTAGGGTTTGCAAAAGCTAGCCTGCTGTAGATGAGGGAGGCTCACAGGAAGTTTGGAAGGCTGGAGCTGTAAATGGAACCTTTTTTGGTGGGTGCCACAACGTGAGTCGAAACTGCACTGCTGCTTTTCGGCTATAGGCTATGATCTATCAATGAAGGTGTGAGGTTGCATTTGTTCAGGCACCCAACCATCCAGACAATCCGGGATGGAGACAGGGCATTTTTGGGCAGGGGCACCCAGTTTCCCCTTCCCGCCTCTGCCTCCTGTCAAACCCTGATAACCCTGGCAACCTGTCACCAACCAATCGCCAAATCCCCGCCAGGCGAGCCACTCACGACCATCCCAGCACCAGCAACCCACCTCGTGGAGCTGGGCGATCTGCTGCTGCAGGTGCTGCCCGCCTTGGGCTTTGCAGAAGGAATCAAACGACCCCAAGGCCACGAAAAAGGGAAATGCAGAGAATGTAGTACACCCACACACCCAGAACGTCTCCTTAGTTCATCTGAAAAGGGCGCCGATTCTCAGAGGCCGCCTTTTCCCTCAGAGGCCTGACACAACAGAATTGGAACAAACTTTTGGACGCACTGCGTTTGGCGCAAGTTCAGGCGCGGGCACGCGCGCACGCATGCACAAGCCACAAGCCACCACAAAATCCACCAGTCTCTTCCCACATCCCTCCCAACCAACCAACAAAAAAAAGAACTTCAAACCAATCCTGCCAAAATCCAAGAAACATACTAAAACCACCCATTCCCCCCCCCCCCCCCGTCTTTTTGTCCATGCGTCACCACCCCAGGCACCGGCCCCTCTCGAGCCCCCGAGCTGAGCTTCGCCCCGGCGAGCGCCGCGGCGCTGCGCTGGGCGCCGCCCCGCAGCTCCGCGGCCTCCGCCCGGAGCCGCGCCGCGGCGGCCTCGGTGCCTTTGAGCTGCGCGGCCAGCTGATCCTCGGGCGCGGGGCGGGCGGCGGGGTGGCGGGGTGCTGGGCGCTGCGTTGGTTGGAGCCGTGGTTGGAGTACAAGGTGTTTTTCTTTTTGGGCGGGGGGGGTTGCTTTGGAGTACAATGGCTGGTGTTATATATATATATATATATTTGGTTGGGGGGGTCAAGAGGGTTGAGGGTTGAGGTTTTGGGGATGGGGTGTCAGAAAGTAGGGGCCCTTTTTGGTATCCCCGAGCCAGGATCCAAAAAGGGGCCATAGTCTCCACACAACATCTGAGCCGAGCGCATGCTTGGCTCTCATGGCAGCCTGGTCCTTGCAGCAAGGGCTGCAAGTTCAATGGGCGGGCCTGTTTGATTCACTTCCAAACCGGTTTTGGAGCCATGCGCCAAAAGGTTCAACAGGGGGAAGGCCCCCCAACCGCCCCAAGCAGTGGAGTCGAGAAAGCCAGGACCTGAATTTGCTCCATGGTACATTAGCCCCACAGAATTAAAGCAACTTGAGTTGGCCAACTGGCCATGTGCCCGTGTCTCAGCTCGCTTTTCCGACCGAAACCCGTGTTTCAAAAGAACAATGGGGTCGAGTGACTCCAATAAACAGCTCTGGAAAAGCGAACGGGGGCCTCCTGGATCTGGCTGTGGCGTGCAGAGAGGTCTTCGTACTGCCTGCCAAAGGTCCAAGCTGCAAGCATGGCGCGCCACGTCACCCACGCCGTCAGAGCCGAAGCACCGCCCAAGCCGAAGCATGTTGAAGCACACCACCATTATTTCAAAACTATATGTCTGGGCTAGTTGGTTGAGCTTTGTTTTGGCTCTTTTGAAAGGAGTCCCGAAAGCCCCGACCAGTTTCTTGGCTTCGTCGTCCACAATTCTGCGACTGCGAAGCGTTTCCATCAACTTTGAAAAGCTCGCCCACTTACGCGGACCCCGTGGTTTGCAAGGAAAATTGGCTCTCAGCGTTCCCACTGGACAAAAGGTGGAAAGGTATGAGTCAACAACTGGGACCATGCGCAGAATCCAAATGGTGGCGACTGTGAGCCCGGCAGGGTAGTGAAAATAATCTCGAGCAAAACCCTGCAGAGACATATGACCTAAAGAGAATCACGCGACTTGGATGCTTTTGCCTGATGAAAACCAGGTAGGGAACAGCCTGGCCGCACAGTTGGCCACGCTCCGTTCCCCCCACATGTCAACCAGGTGCCCAAAGGTCCCCCCATAGGACCCAGTCAGGCCGGCCGGCCTGGCAAGCGGCGCCACGCTGGTCTCAGAGCTCCGCTCCCACGCCTGCCGATCCGGCTCACGAAGGCCATGGCGATGAGCTTTCTGAGTGTGGATGGCTATGCGGCCATCCGGGCTCGACGTTTAGGGGGCACACCGACATCTACTTCAAGAATATAATTGATTTACAGGTATGGTTGGCCCCCAATTGCGTGCATACGAATTTTAATAGTCACAAGGTCGTGCTGCTTCTGTGTCGTTGTTGATGCTTGCTCTTGATTTGATCGACCCCACCCCCAAAGCCCCACACTGCTTCACAACTTGCGCGCCTGTAGCTGCGCGAGATACCTCACGCGCCGCCGCTGAGTGCACCATGCGGGGACGTTTCAGAGCAACGTGTTTGGAACAGGCGATTTCATGCAATGTTGATGAACGGGGTCAGGTGCGCAAAGCGCTGCGTTCAAGGACACATGTTTTTCCGTTTGTTGGGCTAGCCCCGACGGATGTCGAGTGATTCTGCCGGGTTGCTGCCGTCTCTGTAGCAGAGCATCCGTTTGCCCGCCATCAATTGGTCACTCAAATTGGAGATCTCTCCAAGTGGTTGGTTTCTTCTTGGCGTCTGTGCAAACATATCCCATGATTTCTGAGGCAAACTCCCTCCCCCAACGAAAATGAAGAATGGGCGGATGAAATCCTCTTGAGAATCATTCCCCACAGCCAGACACGCGGCATCGGGAACATGCCCCCCCCAAGCTCGCCAAGACACTGGCTCGCATCCCGGGCCTGGCCCGCCTGGCAAGCCGGTCATCCAGTCACACCCCAAGAAAACCCCAAGAAAACACCGAGGTGAGACTCAGCCAGGTTTGCCACGTTTGACCTCCATCCCCCTTCCTCCTGCAGCGAGGGAGCAAAAAAAACGGGAACCTTCCCCCCTAAGACTCGGAAAGGACGCCACCCTCCGTGGCGGCCTGCAGCAAGCCCAGCTTGGAGGACAAGCACCCGTGCCTGGCGGAAGGCGGAAGGCGAGTCTCGAGTGGTGTGTGTGTGTGTGATCTCGAGGTGTGCTTGGTTGGACAACTTGTTTTGAAGAAGCTGGTCAAATCAACCAAAGGTGAGCATGAAGTCACAGTGCCAAGAGGTCCCTTCCGCAAATTTGCGAGCTGAGATCTGGGCTGGTGGCTGGAAGTCAGGTTCTCCAGCACGCGCTGCTCCTTCTCAGACCTGGGCGCTTGGCTGCCACAATGCCCAAATGGGACCGAACAACACTCACAGAGGCAACCATTCCCGTTTTTGAAGTGACTGGGGAGACGTGGAACTGCCTTTCATTCATGGGGGCCATACAAGTAACCTCCCCTGTAGATGCTGTCTTGAGGCACCCCTGTCTCATGGCCCCCTTGGACACCCGGCTGCAGGAGCTTTGCCAGGCTGTCGATGGCCTCCGGGCTTCGCTTCTTGGAAACTTGTGTCCCGCAATGTGTTCAAAGCCGTTTGGCAACCGTGGCATTTGTCTTTCTCTGAGCTTGCTGCCTGCACCACGTTGGCCTTGCTGCCGGCACCCTGGGGTCACAAGGCCGAACACCATGACACGCAAGAAAGTCCGGCACCAAACGCCTTGTGGAAGTGGCCGTGCGACAAAAGGCGGTTGGCAAACATCTGCAGCATGCCCTGGCCAGAACTGCCACGAAACTCCAAGGCAGCGCATGCAAGGTGGTTGCATGAAGTGCACGAGCCTCAGAAAGACCGCTACTGCAAAGATTGCAAAGTATCGGAGAGGCTCCCAGCTTCACTTGACCAATGACCGAACGCCAATCAGTGCCTTGACCTCCGTCTGAAGCTCCGTTGCATCCTGCCTGCATTGGGCCCGCTTAGGTACGCGGGCATCGCAAGTCCCGCGCGCCCTGCCTGAGCCTCGACTGCTCGGTGTGGAGGATACTCGCTGCCTGGCACAGAAGCCCGGGCAAACCCTCCCTGCCACTTTGACGTTTCCAAAGGGAAAGAGGGAGAGAGAGAGAGAGAGAGATACATATAGAAAAATGTCAAACTACATGCTTCACTTCCTGCATTTGTGTTGCATGTGACTGCAGGCCTTGAGCTCACTACATCGCATGAGTAAAAGGTGGATTGCTGCAGGCTACAATCGGTTGACTGTTTGTTTGAACACTACAGCACTTGCACTTGTAAGCAAAGTAACCACCGATTTTAACGTGGTAGCGGAGCTGAGATCCTAAACATAGGGGAGCTCCAGTAAGCAGTAAGTACTACAACCACAGTAACAGCAGTCACATGCCAAACTACTACGACATGTCAGGAGAAGCAGCATCAGCCTCAGCACAACAAACTACAGGAGCAGAGAACGGGCCAACAGCAGACACAGTAGGAGCCACAACTACGGGAGCAGGAACAGAACAAGACAACGACGTTCAGAGACTACATAGACACAAACTGCCACCATCCTTCTTCACTGGTGACTACTCCCAGTATGAAGAATGGCTGTTCAAGCTACAAGCATACCTCGGCCTCATAGACCGAGACTTCGACCTGGTGCTACAACTAGCACAAGTGGCTACACGACAGATTGAGGACACAGACATAAAAGCCCACATACGCGACCCTACACAAGCAACAAAAGCAGTAGACCTCTCACGAGATCTACACTACATCCTCATCAACATCTGTCAGGGAGCAGCAGCTACAGTAGTAAGGCAAAACCGCTACAACGCAAACGGATGTGAAACACTACGACTACTACACAACAGGTTCAGCCTACCAGTAGGAACAAGGAGCGTTGGTTACCTTACCAAACTACTGGAACCCACATTCAACGAAGCGCAGTTTGAAGAACAATTTCTACAATGGGAATACGACATCAACCGCTACGAGAAAGACAATGGAACAGCACTACCAGATGGAATCAAAATAGCAATACTACTCAACAAAACCAAAGGAGCACTGCAGCAACACCTCCAACTGCGAGCTGGACAGATCACGAACTACATCGAGATCAGAGCACTCATCTTGGACTACTACAAGACGATTTCAGCCTTCACTAGATCTACTTCAGCAGTAGGAACAAACTACAATGGAGGAGCTGCACCAATGGATGTTGACAACATATGGAGGAAAGGAAGAAACTACAAAGGCAAAGGAAAAGGAAAAGGCAGCTACAAAGGAAGCAAGAGCAAAGGCAAGTACAGGAGTAAAGGGCACTACAAAGGATTCGACAAAGGCAGCAAAGGAAACGACAACAAAGGAGGATACAACAAGAGCAAAGGAAAAGGCTACTCAGGATCCAAAGGATATGGATCAAGCAAAGGCTACAAAGGCCAAGGAAACTACAGCAAATCAAAAGGAAAAGGAAATAATAACTACACAACATGCCATCAATGTGGCAAGCCTGGCCACTGGGCACAAGACTGCAGAGTGCCGGTATGGCACATAGGAGAAGGAGAAGAACTACATCCACTAGAACAAGAACAAACAAATCATGACAACCATGAAGAACTACCTCAGGATGTAAACGACACTTGGGACTGGTACTACGAAGGAGAAGAAGGACAACACGAGGTGAACTACATGGAGGAGAACTGGAACGACTACGACTATGACAACAGCTGGGATTGGAATGACAACAGCTATGAGGACACAGCAAACTACATTGGAGGCATCAACGAGTCACACCTTACCATTGGACACATCAGACAAGCAAACTCACGACTACACAAGCACAAATCCAAATCACTACTTGGTAAGAGAACAACACATACAACATCATGGAACGACCACAGCAAGAGCTTTCAACAATTCCTACAAGAAGACAACACACAGCCACACTTTGGCATAGCAGCAGCAAGACAACAACAAAGGAACAAGAAGATTGAGGACACTATCACACACTACATCATGTACTCCAACTTCAAGTCATACCACCACCTGTTGATCGACTCAGGAGCATCTACACATGTTTGTCCGAAGGACTACGCACCAGACCTACCGCTACGACCTTGTGGAGAATCGGTTCCACAACTCTACACGGTTACAAACAAGAAGATTCCTGTCTACGGCATCAAGTACGTTCCCTACAAGCAGGACAACTTCAGAATCATGATACCCTACTACGTCTGTGATGTGAAGTATCCAATCCTCAGTGCATCAAGACTACTTGATAGAGGATATGGACTTGGCTTCATTCCATGACACTGCACCATCACACATGGACAACAACAAGCACACCTCATAAGACACTCAGGACTTTTCTACCTGCGAGCAGAGAAGATCGACATCCCTACAGGATTCGACATCTACCCAATGACTACAGACAATGGAAAATCCATTGCTGTGATTCAACCTACAGAGAAAACAGTACAACAACAAGAACAAATTGCACCACTCACTCACACAGACCAAGGACTACGACAGATCCTTGGTGGAAACACTGACTACTGGAAACTTGATGGTGACTACGCCATCAGAGTACACAAACGACCACGCAAAGCATTATTCACACCACACAACAGCGGTTGCCCAATACCTGAAGGACAACTAGATGATTGGCGACTAACCATCATCAACAGACAAGGGCAAGAGCAAGAACAACTACAAGAGAACCCAACACAACTTTCCAAGCAAGAACTGCAACGAAGACTAGAAGCTGACAACTGGACTGGAGAAACCAGATTCAGAAGAAAGATAACACCTACACGCAGAGCAACATCAAAGACCACACCAACAAGGCAGAGCTCACAACCACAACGGCTAATGGACACACCAATCAGATCAAAGATCCAACTACGAGCACCACAAAAGATATGGAGACCGAAAGCAGCACCTTCTACAGATCTTGACACCACACAACCAAAGGAGACAATCCACAGACCACTCACAGCACAGGAGGACAACCAAGACTACTGGGAAAGACAAGGTGAATACTGGATAAGACACCACACAACACTTAGAACAACTCTATTCACTCCAACAGATGGACCAGGACATCCACCAATCAGCACACTTGAGCCTCACAGAACTACAATCACTCACAACAACTTTGGAGAAGTTTCGCAACGCAAAGATGACTGGACAGTCATGGGCAACGCAGCACTACCATTTCAATGGAAAGGAACAACAAGGTTCACCGTGAAGAAAGACTACGAGTACATCCAGGAGAACCACGATGAGGAACAACAACACGAGCATCATGAAGCACACAGAGCAAGAGGACTACGACAACTGCAGCAGCCCACTCCACAACAAATAGCAGAACACAACTTGACACACCTACCATACAGAAATTGGTGTCCAATTTGCGTTCAAGGCAGCAAAGGACGCCAGGACAACTACAAGAAACAACAATCACGACAACCCATCATCCAAGTGGATTTTGCCTACATCAAATCACAACAAGATCCGAAGACCATACCAGTCTTAACAGCAGTTGATGTTACTACACAACTGTGCATGGCCTACAAAAGCAACAGCATCCAAAGTCGGCTCAATGACTCTACGACATTCACCATCCTACAGCAGCAACAGTCAAGGAAGCGTTGAGCGACTACATAGAACACTTCGGACAAATCCGCGTCGTCAAAGCTCAGGTTGAAAGCAACTACAGCATGACGATGTCCACAACGCACTGTCTACTACCTTGGATAGTACGACATGCAGCATGGACGGTAAATCGCTACGTCATTCACTCAGACGGCTACACAAGCTTTGAACGCCGCTGGGGAAGAAACTACGAGCGAGCAATCTGCGAATTTGGCGAGACACTATTTTACTTCCACCACAACACAAGAAACTTCCAAAAGCAGACCTACGGATGCAGAAATGCATCTGGCTCGGAAAAGTTTCCGAAACCGGAGAAAACTACGTCGCAACGGAATCAGGCGTACAAAAGGTACGAACAGTACGGAGACTACAACCGAACTTCAAATACGACCTCGCACTGTTGAACAAAGTTTCCGGCACACCATGGGCACCACGACGGAACACCGACAACCCTTCGTTCGCAACATTGTTGGATACGCAACTACAACCGTCAAAGAAAAGAAGGTCCACGCAAGATTTCGGACAACAAACAAACGCTACGGACGACATCGTTGCGGAACCCGCAACAAAACAACAACGCACTACACCACCTCCACAACTTCCGTCCACATCGACGTCAGGTTCACGACCACTACCGGATAGTCCTATGGCTACTTCACCAACCGGACGACAACATCCACCACTACCAGCACCACCTCGACAAACACTACGACGTTTAACTCCGGAAGAAGTAATGCAACCAACTAAAGCACAGAAGACCTCCAAGGACACTACAATCAGATCAACGGAGCAAGCAACCAAAGAACCACCACCACTACGACAGAAGATCAACGCAGTGACACTTCCCAACGGCAAATCCATCACCCCCTACACAAACGACGACACCTCAGAAGACCAACCCATAATCTTCGACAACGAAGGTTACGACGAAACACAACTACTGGAAGGAATGAAACACGAGTCAAACCAAATGAAGCTACATGACGTCTACGACGAAGTAGATGCGTCTACCGTCGACGACAACGTCATCAGAGAAGCGATGCCTACAAGATGGGTACACAGAAAGAAAGGACCAGGAGTACGAAGCCGAATCGTCGCAAAAGGCTACACAGAGAAGATCGAGGACGAAGACTCCGTCTACGCCTCTACACCAATGTTCACGACACTCCGGACACTTCTCGCACTACAAATGTCACGACCAAACTGGATCGCGCGACTAGGTGACGTCTCTACAGCATTTCTACACGCACCCATCGCAAAAGACCACGACGGTAAACAACGTGACGTCTACCTTTGGCCACCTAAAGAACTTTGTCCACAACAGGACAAAATCTGGCGACTAAAGAAAGCCATGTGTGGACTACGCAGTTCACCAAAAGCATGGCAGGACTACCTGGCTGAAGTGTTACAAAAGCTCAGCTTTGTAAGACTAAAGTCAGAACCTAACGTCTACACCAATGCGACTCGCGACTGCTACATCATGGTCTACGTGGATGACCTCTTGGTACTTGGTGACAAGACTACTGTCGACTCCACCTTCGAGGCCATTCAGAAGCAGGTCCTACTCAAGCACATCGGCTACCTCGAACCTGGCAAACCACAACAATTTCTTGGAAGAAACATCGACCACTTTGGCAACTACTGCAATCTTGGACTAAAGGACTCCTACATCGACAACATGATCGAGGAGTCTGGAATGAACAACTGCAACTCAGTGAACACTCCAGGAATTGCACACTACAAACCAACAATAGAAGATGAAGCACTACTTGGCCACGAACAACACAAAAGGTACAGAAGGATTGTCGGCAAACTTCAATGGTTAGCATACACACGACTAGACATTGCATTCTCCACAAAAGAACTAGCCCGAGACCTCACAGCACCTACAGAACTTTCACAAAAGAGAGTCAAACATCTACTACGCTACTTGCACGGCACCAAGCACTACAAATTCACCATAGAACCAACAACAACACTCAGAGCAAACACCAACAACATCCTGGATCTCGACGTTCATGTCGATGCCGACTGGGCAGGATGCCCTACTACCAGGAAATCAACTTCAGGTTTCAACATCATCTTTTTAGGAACAACAGTTGCATTTGGCAGCAGAACACAAGCTACAATAGCACTCAGCTCAGCAGAGTCTGAACTCTACGCCATTTGCACAGGAGTTAATGAGGGACTACACCTCAGAAACTTCCTACTTGAAACCAACATTTGCAGCAAGCTAAACCTATGCATCCACACAGACTCCACAGCAGGCAAGAGCATTGCTACACGACAAGGCACTAGCAAACGAGCAAAACACATCGACCTTAAATTTCTCTACGCACAAGACCTCATCAAGCATGACATCATCAGAATCCTTAAGATCAACACACTCCACAACAGCGCAGATTTGTTTACCAAATACATCAGCAAAGAAACACTACACAGGCTCATCCAGAGCATTGGAATACGCATTTAGCACTACGACCAGCACAGCAGTTTCACAACAACAACAACGACTTTGGACATTTCATGTATGTAAGTAGCTACATGTAACACGACACTTTTGGTATGTAAGTAACAGTAACTACATGCATTTGCACTTGCACTTTTGGCGGCTGAGTCAACACTACAGTTGTTTGTTTTACATGTCTGCATGCGCCGCCTGCCTGATAGCAACTCAGGCTCATTTTGTTTTGCCCCGTTTCACTACATTCGCACTCCACTGCAGCCCTGGCCGCTCCATCTACCGCAGATGCTACAATGGGAGATGCGACTACACCCGACAGGGCGTCTACACCGGAGGTGGCTGTCACTACGGACTCCAGTGACCATGGAACTCCACCACCTCAAACCTACAACGACTCCAACTACCACTTCAACCATCCTACACCTGGCAACACAGTCTACTACAACCCGACCACAGTGATGGACCAACTACACATCACTGAGCACCAGACAACCACTACACCACCACTGCCCGACAACACACCCTACACACAGTTTTTCACTGCACTCACACTCGAAGAGTATCAACTACTTTCACATCAACAAGCAACTCCACTTGCACAACTGGACTACACACAACCCATCTACTGCATCCCTAGAGACCTTCGGATGCCCCACTAGAACTCCACCCTGCTCAGCGTTTCACTACCTGAAGCAGCCAACGTGCACTACTACCATACGACTTCCCTTCACACTACAACCGGCGACAACAACAACTACGTCATCATCCAACTGCAGATTGAACAACAACTACTCCTGAGGTACCTCACTTCAGGACAATTTATCCACTTCACCAGAGACTACATTTCCTACATGATGTCGGTACAACAGAACTACTACCTCCCAACTACAACACTGCCACAGACCATCTACAAGGTGAACTACAACATGACCATCTTCACCGACAACTACAGCCTCAGGAACAACTATCTTTGGAACTACCACATGCCACTACTACTGCCTGAACTACTCCACTACCTCTACAACAGAGACCAACTCCACGACTACCAACACAAGGCAATCACTACAATCCTCTGCAAGAGTATCCAGTACTACGGATTTACACTACTCACCATGACAAACCTCACACAACACCACAAGGCACTACTACACCGCTACCTCAGGGACTACAACCAACACATGTCATGTCCCGAGATCGACGATGAGCGACTACGAGGAGCACCAAACTACATGACAACCTTTTTCACCACGAACTACTTTGCGACCTTGGACGGTCGACTACAGAAGGTCCAAGACTACCGCACCCAGAACTGGGGACTACATCTTTGAGCACATGCTCTACTACCACAACCAAGTGCCTGCCTCACTACATCCGTCCAGCGCACTACATCGAGCTGGAACCTGAACAGCGAGAACTACTGAGTGCAGGTTACTACTTTTGTCACTACAGTAGAATTGATGAACAACAATGGTTTTCATCACTACTGCCAATCCATGTTTTTGCACTTCAGTTGAAAAGGTACTACAAAGACCTTTTAACTGAGGGGCCGTGTCAAACTACATGCTTCACTTCCTGCATTTGTGTTGCATGTGACTGCAGGCCTTGAGCTCACTACATCGCATGAGTAAAAGGTGGATTGCTGCAGGCTACAATCGGTTGACTGTTTGTTTGAACACTACAGCACTTGCACTTGTAAGCAAAGTAACCACCGATTTTTACGAAAAAGAGAGAGAGAGAGAGAGAGAGAGAGAGAGAGAGAGAGAGAGAGAGAGAGAGAGAGAGAGAGAGAGAGAGAGAGAGAGAGAGGGAGGGTTTGTCAAGAGAACTGTCTCTTTGTCTTTTGGGACAATCTAAGCCTGCAACTTCATTGTCCAATGGAGGGCGTGGTTCCCACCCAACTGGACAAAGTGCCCACCTGCAGCTGCAGCTGTGCACTTCCGCGCAACTGCCTGCCACTTTCCGGATGTCCCCCCCCCCGGGTGCCGGGTTTAAAGACCGGGGTGGAGATGTACACTGGACTTTGGTACTTTGGTAAGCTCGCATCTCCATTTCTGATGTCAATGCGATGGCTGTCTCAAACGTGGGCATTTGACCTGGCCAAAGAGTGAGGTTCTACATGTCCAGGGAAAGGGGGGGTCCCACGGACAAACGTCTATTCTGCAAAGCTCGTGTTGCCTCAGGCGGGGGGGGGGTGCGGGCTGCGGGGATGCCACCGCCGCCGGCCTCAGGCGCTCGCCCAGCTGCTGCCGGGTGCGCTGACTTCTCCTCAGCGCCATGTCCTTGGCCGCGCCCAGCTGCCGCGCCGCCTCCGCCTGCCCGGCGCCGAAGTCCTCAGCTTCGGGGCTTCGGGCGACTGGGCATAACATCTGCCAGTGGCAGGCATGAAACCCTTCCTCCAACTAACATGGCACCTGTCGGGAGGGGGAGGTACCTGGAAGATCCATTTCCTTTTGAAGGGAGCCCCTGTCAGTGGCCATGTTAGTTGGAGGGAGGGCAGCCCTGCCGGATCAGCCACAATACAAATGTGACCATTAGTGCATGCGGCAGGGACAGGATCTAAGTTCCATCGTCATGTTTAGTCCCTGAAGGGACAGTATCTAGACCGAAACACGCCAGAAATTATTCTTGCCAAGGATCGGATTTGTTTTGTGATAGAATCCATGGTTAGCGGATTGTTGACGGCGCTTCCAGAAGAATTCTTCATTTGTGTGATGCGACGAATTGTTCGCGGATTGTTCTAGGTAGGACAGCGCCTATTTGTTGGGACCAACTTGAAAAAGGCGCCGCTGATTCATGAAACCTGAAGAGATTGTCTCCCTCCCTCTGTCTCGCTCTCTCTCTCTCTCTCTCTCTCCCTCCCTCTTCCTCCTTTTCTTGACTTGTTTGAGTTTCTGTCCCCTTTCCCTTTTTCTCGCTTTGTCTCGTTTGGACGGTTCCCACTCAAATGAACTTCCTTCATGTATTCAAATGGAACCCCTTTCGACAGACAGACGCACAAATAAAGAGAGAGAGGGAGACAGACGGAGAGAGAGAGAGAGAGAGAGAGAGAGAGTGAGAGATTGAGAGAACAAAAGAAACAACGCAAAGAAAGGAAGAAAAAAAAAAAGAAAGAAAGAAAGAAAGAAGGAAGGAAGTGTAAAAGAAATAAATAGTGTATAATGATTAAATAAAGAAAAACAGACAACGCGAAGCCGGGCTGCCTGAGATCCCCCGCTAAAAGTTCAACTTCTAGAGGGTTAAGTGGAAACTACCAAACTACCACTAAACACCAACAAGCTAAACGGCTAAGGGGATGGCTGGGAGCCACCAAGGAAAGAGAGCAAGACCGCCGCTCCGCGCGGCCCACACCAAACCTCCCCCCGGCGGCCGCGCGCCGCGCCTGGCTCTGCCGCGCCTGGGCGTGGGCCTTGCGGCGCTCGTCTGCCGCCTGCTGCTGGGCCATGGCCTGAAGCTCATCGCCCTGGCGGAGATCGCCTACAAAACCCTCGTCAAACATGCTGGGGGGGGGGGGGGAAAAATGTAGAAAAGGCTGATTCTAGGGGGGTGGGGGTTGATGGTTGCCTGTTCTGTTTTTTATTTCACAATTCAACACGTGTACCACCTTATCCGTTTTTGAAAGGCTGATTTTGGGGGCATGAAATAACGATATGGATGTGGTAACGAATTGATGATTTGGTCCCCTGTCTCGTTCCAGATTTCAACTTTTAGTTTTATTGATTGAAAGAGGATAGGACTTTTTGTGGTTTCATGGGTTGGCTTTTGGGCGGTTGTTCTGGTTTGTGGCTTCTTTCACTCCCACTAATTCGGTCGTCTCTCTACCCGGCCTTGTGGACATCGACAACTTCTTCGTTTTTGAGCAGGGAGACTCAGTGCGTTTCGGTGTGGTGGATGTTGGACAAATGCTTTAGTTTGAGCTGATGTCATTGAGCTGATGTCATTGAGCTGACGTCGTTGAGCATCCTGACAAGTGTCATGCACTGACCGCATCATATCTTTTCAAGCTGTCAATTCGTGAAACATTCATCCTTCGAGATTGTCGTGTGATTGAGCAATGTCACCCAAGATGCAGAGAGGCTATGAATCTTCACCTGTGGAGACTGCTACTTCTTCATCGCATGAAACATCAACGGTTACAACCATGGCTACAGCCAGACTCCTTGAGATTCAGGTAGAGGATGAGCTGGTGGAAGCCGTGAAGGCACTTTCTCTCGAGGAGCTTACGGTTCATGAGAAGAACATGAAAGAGGAGAAGAACCGCATCACTGAGCAGATGAAGGTTCTCGCCACTCATAAGAAGGAGCTTGAGAGAGCCAACAAGGAGGTGAATGACAAGCTGAAAGTCAAAGAAAGGAGCGAAGCGGCAAAGGCGAAGACGAAAGCAAAGACAGAGCGGATGTACTCCTACATCTTCAAGTGGAAGGGTGAGGAGATTCCCTTCCAGTTGGCCGGACGCTCGACAATCACACAATTCAGGATGCAGTTCATGATCGCCACCGGCATGAAGGAGTCAAAGGTGAAAAAGCTGTTGTTCTCCCACAACGAGGTCGTCATGCGTGGTAGGAGTGAGAACACAGGCAAAGACGGCTATGACATGAAGGACGGCGACGTCGTTGAGGTTGAAGATCTTGATGATTCTGTTTCCGAGACAGAGCAGGATGATGAGGATGCAATGGTGGAAGACCCTGACATCTGAGTCATGACATGACAACCCATGCTACCACTTTGACAGGTTCAGGGTAAAAAACTATCTCTCAACATATGTCCATGTGTTCAACTTCACAGCTGTTTCAGAAGAGTTCTTGAACCTGCGGAAAGGCGGTGCGTTTTGAGAAGCAACACGGTGTGCTCATGCCATCAGACAAAAACACATGTTTGAGCTGAAGCTTGAAGTCATAACTCGCGTTGCTTGCTGACGTTCGCATTGATTTCCATGGCATCAGTCAGTCAGTCAATACGATGATACATTTGAGCTTGCATTGCTTGAGTTGGTCTTTCTTTGGAGTTGTTAATGGCAGCGTTTTTGCTTGGAGTTTTGAAACAGACGCCTCACGTCCTTTTGCGATAGTTGTTTCTTGAGACATGACTCGCTCTGTGAAGAAGTTCCACTTAAAGCGGGAGGATGCCTTTGAGGACTTGGTGCGACGCTCCATCAAAACCGTTCATGACCGGCATCTTTCTGAAGCCGATGTTGGTTCATCATCAGTGCCTTCACAACTCATACCCTTCTTTGACGAAATCACTCGTCGAATGCAAGAGATGAAGTCAAAGGTGGCATCCGGTGAAGTTGAAGTAAAAGGCTTACTTGAATCACTTCCTGATGAGAAGCTTCGGATGATTAGCGATACCCTGCAGAAGCACAACCACAATGTCTACAGTGAAGATGTCCTGTTGGTCATCGCTCACATTGTCCTAAGCGATTTGGAGGTGGTGGAGAGAAGCATTCAACATATGACGAGTCTGAGAAACCAGCTCGTTTCAAATTTCATCTTCGCATATGCAAAGGGCTACAGCAGTGAAAGAGGAAACAGCATGGTCTTCAACCATCGTGGCTTCAAGCGGAACATCGAAGAAATCCAGAACTACCGCGGGAGACTTCGTCAACGAGAACATGAACCAAACGAGTTGAATGAACCGAATGAACATAGTGACAACAGATGTATTCTGATGTGAGACTCATTTTGGACTGTCGCGAGGGTCTGCGACAAACCGTCGCGGGAGTTTGCGACAAAATGTTTTCTGTCGCGGGAGTTTGCGACAAAATGTTTTCTGTCGCGAGGGTCTGCGACAAACCGTCGCTAGGGTCTGCGACGATTGCTGTTTTTTCTCGTTGTACAGGTGGGCTTCGATGTATTTGATTGCATCTGTGTACATACGCATGTCATGAGCCAAGCACAGTTCAATGGTAAGTCTCATTAATTCACAGAAACCTATTGAATGAAGAGGAGGGAGAAAAACAGAGAGGAGACATTACTTGAAGCTTCTCATTGAAAGGGTCATGGCTGAGTCTTGTGATGAACCAGTCGTTTATGCCTTTGTTTGCATTTGCTGCGTCAGTGGTTCAGTTGTATCCTCAGAAGCCGTCCTCATGATGAACTCCTTTGAAGAGGAAATGGAAGGAATTCTTGAACATCAACAAGCTGCTCGGAGGAACATTGACATCGTCTATAAGGAGTTGAAGTTGCTTAGACATCATTTTGAACTCAAAACGATTGAGCACGAGATGGTTCTGCGACAACACAGACGTCTCATTGACAACTTGACGAAGAAAACGAGGGCAACTACAAGGTTGATGACCTTGATGATGACCTCGCTGCTCAAGAAGACGTTGAAGCGGAGAAAACTTTTGAGGAAAATGAAGGTGATGAAGTCCATTCATCTACTGATACGATGCTTAGGTGAGAAATGAACATTGTCTCACAGCTCAAGTCAATGACTTTGACAACAAACTTTGAAGCGATTACGAACGATGAAAAGGGTGACTGTTTCACATGTATGTAATGCTTTGAGTGCTTACCCGAACTCCCACACTTCTAAGAATTTTGGTGAACAACCCCTTCATTTTTGGTTTTCCCTCCTTTACCAGAAGACAGTCCCGCATCTGCAACGTGCCGAGGTTGAGAAGTCAACGTGAAGCTCTTCTACCACGCTGTGAACTTCTAGGTTCGTCAGTCACAGGGTTGTTTAGGTTTGCTTTTTTTTTGTGGAGGGGATTGAAACAATCTTTGGAGGGAGTGACTTTGTTGAGCCACCAACCCAACCAATCCACCCTACTAACCCATCAACCCCGTCCACCACAACAACCCGAACATTCATATAAACCCCAACAGTCTTAAACTCTTGTTTGTATCTGTCCTGTCCGTCAGAAGGGAGGCCGACATCGACATCAAGACTTTGGAGGAACGGGTGGGACGGGAGGGTAGGGAGGGAGGGTTCTTTCCTTAAACTGGTTGTTTAATTGAAAGGGGAAACTATCGCCAATTTTCTGTTTCAATGTTTAGCCCCAAGCCCAAACCCTACACTAAATAATTCTAATAATTCTAATAATTTCATATTATTAGAATCATTTAGATATTTATTTTATGGAAAAGTGCCCATACGGGATTGAATTGAAAGCATCAATATAAAACCTTTTATTTTCATAATTACTGAGAGATTGCTTGACTTGAGACATTGAATATATTTGATGTGTTTTGCTCCTGATGAAGTTGTAGGAGATTTCATGTTTTTTGTTGTGATGCAGTGCTTCATGATAGTTCTGATATGTTAATTCCTTTTTAACCTTGTGCTTGACGACACCTTTGGATTTCTTGTGTTCCTCATCCTCGCCGTGGATTGTGAAAGCATAGGATTTAGGTTTCAACCCGATGAATCTAGTAATGATTTTACCGTTGACTTCATCTTTGTACATTCCTAAGACCTTCTTATTTGTTGTGTCATGGCATGGATGTTCAACAGGATAATCACTAAAATCCATATGTTGCTTGATACCTTGAAAATCCTTGTAGACATCATCAGTGAAGGTTTGAATTACATAACTGTCAGTATCGGTATATATCAATTTGATATTTTCGTTGTATTTCTTTTTCAACACACCATAGTAAAACTCATACATATGTAATTTACTCAAATCCAAAATTGCCATTCCTAAGAATATAGGTTTATCAAGTTTCAAGACCGACTTTGTCTTTTCCACTCCTACCAGATTTTCATTAATGATAAATCTATTTTTGAAAGTAGGATTATTCACGCATTTTTCATACCTAACATCATTATCTACCAGTTCAAAATCCATATGTTTTCTTTTGTCTTCCATAGTTTTTCCATACACCGCGTTATTCATTAATTTAAACAAATCCTTCTCAAAGTCGCTCTTCGCTTCTTTTCTCTTACCAGTGTTGAAGTCAATCCATGGTTTCAACCAAGCCCTCTGTTGAAATTTTATTATCCTATGAACCTTGGTGAGTTTCATACCCATTTTTAGATAATACTGTAAAGTCTTGATATGAACAACATATTTTTCTTTATCTTTCAAATTTAATATTAACTTGCTGGTTTTCTCATCCTTCGGTTCTTTGTTTCCATAGTAGATTTTGTAGATTTCCTTTTGATAGTCTGACAACATATTAGCATTGACATTCATTATTTCCGGTGCTAGTGGATAGTCCGAATGGTAGTCATGTAGTGTTTCTGGATATTCCAAATCCACTTCAAGGATGAAACCGTACTCATCTTTTTCATCCCACTTTTCAATGTTAGGTGTTTTCTTTGCCCATTTGATGTTCTTTAAAGGCAATTTTTGAGACATTGCCAGACCATACAGATTGTTAGCATCTAAGTAATTGATATAACTTGACGGTTTACTTTCATCAAAGGCTTCATCCATATACTTATTGTTAGCCACAGCCAGTTTGTGACTGACCTGACACATCTGCTCAATTTCAACACCAGTTTTCAACAACATAGCTTCCCAAGCGAAGTTAGGAAGCGTATAATAATGAGCGGGGTCCAAACCGTAGTATTCCATACATAAGTCTCTAAAGTTTTCAAAAACATCAGTCAATAATAAAACATCGGTTCTCAAATACAAATCGTGATATTGTCCTAATGTTCTAATACCGAAGTGTTTCCAAACCTTTTGTGCCCTTTCATAATCTTTGTCGTTGACATGTTCTTCACTTAATTTACTGTAGAACGCTTCTTTTGATGGTAAGTTTCTTTCAGTAAATCTGTCAAAACTATCAAAATAGTCATAAGGATAAATCCCCTTGTCAGTCAACAAGTCCAAATCTTCATCGGTTTTAACATATGGATTTCTAACACTGTATCTAAAATTGTTCTTCCAGTTCTCACGCCTTTTATCATCTTCATACTTACTCAACTTTACCAACTTATCCAACGAAGACGATAAGAAGCTAAAACTGTCCTTGAAACAAAGGTTTTTAAAACCAAAGGTTATGAACTTCTCGCTGTTCTGTGCGATGCAATCGATTTTAGCATTCTTGCTCAGTTCGTGTGCCTTGTTGATGATTAAGTGAGCGTCATAGTTTTTAAGGTTATGAAGGAAGACTGGTATTTTATAATATCTCATACTAAAAGCAAGATTACAATCATCATGAGCACAACCTCTATATTTACCAGTAAAATGGCAATGGTCACGAACCTTCTTATCTCCTTCCTGAAAGCCCTTTCCACAAACGAAACACTTAGTAGCAGTGTCAAAATCTGTTTTATCGTCCTCAGTCATGATTATCTCTTTCACTTCCTTCATTTTCTTTATTACATCATCTCTGACTTCATTCATTTTCTCAACGAACTTATCCATACAATCTTCGCCTCTGTATAAATAGGGCTCACTGCTTCCAGTGATGGCATTGACTACATTAATCATAAAACCACAAGGGCGATGATTTTGATATGATGTTGTTGTCGCTTTTGTCGATTTGCTTTTAACATCAATGGGTACTGTTAGACATTCAAAGTCTGCATATATGACATAAGGCGCTTTCAGTTTCTTAAAATGATTCTTAAATTCAATCGTAGCTCCTACCTCCGGCATTTCTATTTGTTGTCCTTCAACCGCTAGACAACCCTGTTCTTCGTGTTGTTTTAATAACTCTTCTGACTTGAAACCGTGTGAGCATGTCCTACAGTGATACTTTGGTCTGCCTGTTTTGTTGGTTTGGCTACCCATCA